TATCTCCCTGGGCAAGGGAAACAAAAGCAAAAATGAACAAGTGGGACTATATTAAGCTGAAAAGCTTCTGTACAGCAAAGGACACCATAAATAGAACAAAAAGGTACCCTACAGTATGAGAGAATATATTGATAAATGACAAATCCGATAAAGGGTTGACATCCAAAATATATAAAGAGCTCATGCACCTCAACAAACAAAAAGCAAATAATCCAATTAAAAAATGGGCAGAGGAGCTAAACAGACAGTTCTCCAAAGAAGAAATTCAGATGGCCAACAGACACATGAAAAGATGCTCCACATCACTAGTCTTCAGGGGAATGCAAAATAAAATCACAATGAGATATCACCTCACACCCGTAAGGATCACCACCATCCTAAATACAAACAACAACAAATGTTGGCGAGGTTGTGGATAAAGGGGAACCCTCCTACACTGCTGGTGGGAATGTAAATTACTTCAACCATGTGGAAAGCAGTATGGAGGTTCCTCAAAATGCTCAAAACAGAAATACCATTTGACCCAGGAATTCCACTACTAGGAATTTACCCTAAGAATGCAGCAGCCCAGTTTGAAAAAGACAGATGCACCCCTATGTTTATCGCAGCACTATTTACAATAGCCAAGAAACGGAAGCAACCTAAATGTCCATCAGTAGATAAATGGATAAAGAAGATGTGGTACATATACACACTGGAATATTATTCAGCCATAAGAAGAAAACAAATCCTACCATTTGCAACAACATGGATGGAACTAGAGGGTATTATGCTCAGTGAAATAAGCCAGGCAGAGAAAGACAAGTACCAAATGATTTCACTCATATGTGGAGTATAAGAACAAAGAAAAACTGAAGGTATAAAACAGCAGCAGAATCACAGAACCCAAGAATGGACTAACAGTTTCCAAAGGGAAAGGGACTAGGGAAGATGGGTGGGAAGGGAGGGATAAGGGCAGCAAAAAAGAAAGTGGGCCTTAGGATTAGCATGTATAATGTGGGGGGTGCATAGGGAGGGCTGTGCAACACAGAGAAGTGATGATTCTACAGCATCTTGGTGCGCTGATGGACAGTGACTGTATTTGCTGGGGGGACTTGGTGAAGGGGGAAGTCTAGTATTAGGCAATGTGATACCTCGTAATTTGTTTGACAAATAAATATGATTCTTTAAAAATAAATAAATAAAAATAAAAAAAGCCCTGTAGCTAGTTAGCTGAATGTGTCTGCATTTTCCCTGTTGGACTGGGAGCCATTTCACTGGCTCCCACTGCTCGTAGAGTAACACTCCTCTGCACTCAGCCCTCAGGGAAATTATCATCTGAAGAACTCCCCTTAAAAAAAAAAAAAGAAAGAAAGTGAAAATGATGGTGTGTGGCAGAAGAATAGAGTGGGATTTAAAGATTAACCAAGGTGTACACCTGGACCACAGAGAGGAAAAAGGTACCTGCAAAAGTTTCCATCGCTATTAAGGTCATCTAGCTGGCGAGACATCTTTAGAGATGGATGTAGGTCAAGTGGAGATAGCTTACTGGATAAATCATTTACTGTTTTAACTTTTAAGTTGATTGGTGCAATTTCTTCTCTAAATGCCTGGAAGAAAAGGAGAAGAATGATGTCCTTGGAAAAGAATATATGTAAAAGATATTTTGAACTCTCCTTCAAAGAAAATAGCAAAATCAGCTGTGACACCATCAACTAGTTTCTCACTCAGCAACAGCTGACTCGATTCTGGTCTTTAGCAATGAGGACCACCAGGCAATTAGTCATCCTTTATAACCTAGAGAATCTGTATAGGTGCACAGAGAGCAAAATTGTGATGCAAACTTATTTAAATAATGATGTGGTTCCTTCAAAAAAAAACAGTATGGTACTTCACTGACCATATTTAATATGTTTAAACCCATAATATAGAAAAAGGATTTTAACATTTCATTAAAAAATCTATCAGGAGGCAAGAATAGAAGCATTATATATATAAATCTTCTCTAATATTGATCTTTATCTCTAATTTCTAATATATTCATATAACATAATTTGAAAAAATATTTAAGTGTAGGATATTTTTGGAAATGAAATTTATGAGCAACATACCTGTTGAGTCACTGCTACAGCCAAATTCCCTGCAGCACTGTCTCCAGAAATACCAGTTCTTTCAGGATCTATACCGTATTTGCTAAGAATATCTTGGCATAAGAACCACCTTACTGCATTACACATCTTCAAACTGATTTGGAAAGTGATATTTAGGTGCTAGTCTATAGCTGTGGGTAGAATAGCAACATTCTTTAAATCAATTATTTAATTGTGAGTTTAATTAAAATTCAATTTATAAAAAATGTATGTGTAAATGTATATGCTCTGATCCTAAAATCAAAAGTAGAATTTTTATTTAGCAAACCTGATATTTTGGGTCATTATGAATCAAAAGATCCATCATTATGATAATGTTCGATATGAAAACTTTTCCTTCTCTACTTTTTTTAAATGTCAATTTACACAGATAAATGCAAAACCTGGAGTAGGCCTAAGACAAAGAAAAAGAAGACCCAGGTGATACTTTCCCCTAGTTAAACTCCCATAATGTTATTCTCTCTATAATCATTATACTTTATTAGTAACCAATAAATAGCATACAAATCAGAATTATTCTATTCCAACTTAATCTAATGATCAAGTTGGCAGGCAATCACTAAGTTTTGTTTCACTGTTTCTTCTGTCTTTCCATCCTATTGGTTTATTTTCTATTTATTACTGTCCTAGAATGCTTTTAGAGAATAGATTTTGCCTGTATTCCTATATGTTTAGTGACTAGCTGCTTTTAATGAAGGCTTATACCATGAAATACACTATGCTAATTGTTTCAGATGAATTTTATCACCTAATCCTCAAAACAGCCCTACAAAACAGAAAATATTACATGACTCCCACTTTACATGAGAAAGCTAAGCTTACATGATACTTAACTAGCACAAAGTCATTCAATTAATTCTAGAACTAGGCTTGAACCTCATTCTGACTCTGAAGTCCTCCTTCTTATTGACTTTGCTAATGAAGAGTTGGCTAGAAATCCAGCAAAGGTCATTGGCCCATAAGATACAGAAGTTTAATTTTATTCTAACAATTTCTTGATTTCCTGTTTTTGATCCCTACTTGACCTGAATATGCAACTCTTTTCTCTCTCACTCTCTTTTTGGTCAAGCTCAAGGTCTTTCTCTATTCTCATCCCCTCAATATCATTTGAAACATGCCTGGCATAACCAAGGAATGACCGAGATAGATGAGACTCTTACTATGCCAGACACCTAGTCAAAACCCAAACAAGCCCACAGCACTCTTACTTGGTTGAAATAACAGCATTGAATCTTTCAACAGTCTTGACAGAAAGTTGTAATTAAACAAAGCTGAAACAAAAGGAAATAAAATCAGATTGAAGAATAAACTGATGGGTGTTTCCTTCAGCAGAAAGCCTATAACTAGACCTTGTTCTTCACTGAAATGTTCTGGGAAAAGTATGTCTACTAATTTATCACAACTATAGGCCCATATCCTTCTGCACAGTGATCATTGTATCATGCACATTGTCAGCTTCCTTGCCCTTCCCCACATTTTCACCCTGGGTAATTTAAATCAACTTCCTTCTCTTCAAGATTAATCTCTTCTCTCTTCATTTGGAAGGTATTCAGTGTGGAAAAAACATACATAAATGTTAACTCCCTGACTTTCAGGAAGTTACACACTACTAGAGACAGGGGCAGGGAGGGGCAGGCATATAAACAAATGGCTGTAATACAAAGTATTAGTTGCTTTAATGGAGTATAGACAGTACTATATGGAAATAGTATTAGACTTCATCAAAACTGCCAGAGGAAGTTGAGAGTAAAGAGGAAGTAGGGAGAGCTGAAACCTGATTCATATATTCATATTTCCTAGGCAGACAGGAAGTAATATGTTTTCTGGGCATTTTTGTTAGACGTGTGTATGGGGTGGGGATGTTTATTAGTGGGCTTAGGTGAGTGCTCCCTTTTGCAAAAAAGAAAATTGTAAGAAGATACAGTAGAATTTGCTGGGGGAAAAAAAGAAATCATGAAGTGCTAAAGGGTAAATATCAGAGTATGAGGTTGTTGCAAAGGTTGTATCATGTGAGCCATGAAGAGTAAATATCGTCTTGCAATGTTTCCAAAGTTGAGTGCTGAATACTAACAAAATACCAAATACACACTAAGTTTTAAACTTTTAATTAACATTTACTATAAAAAGTCATGCTTATATTTTGGATTGGAACACAAATTTTGGGGTTTTTTGAATAATAAAATAGAAAGCATCAGGCAAATAGTATTTTATTTCAAGCCTATTCTTTTTTAGTTCCTTCACCCTGGCAAGCATACTTCCACTCTTCAGTAATACTTTGATGAAAAATCTTTTAAAGAAGTGCTTTGGGCAGCAGGGACTCATGGAAACTGACTTAGGCGTGGTATGGCCCAAATTTCTTTTAGAAATATCACTTTATTGCCAGATGATGAATTTAATGCTTGATTTCATAGAAAATGGTAGATGGGATCACACTCTTTACTGCCCCAATTTACATTTACAATCTACATCAATACCCATCAATACCTCTTTTCCTTCTGTCACAGAGAGTTATGTTCCTCCTCCTGGATGTTGCCAGTACTTCCCCTTTGTACTGAGTCATGTTCCCCTCCATATGCTCTAGGTTCTGCAAACTGCATCCAATCCTCCAGTTCCCCCGACCTACATTTCTCCAATGTACTTTTATTAAGCACCATCTTTACTTTCAGCTTATAAACATGGTCATACACCTCCCATATATAAATATAAAATATATATAAAGTATTTGTAAATAAAGTAAAATTATATATAATAAAATATTATATATTTATATAAATATAGAAAATACACAAAATAAGTTGAAATGTATATATTTTATATAAAGTGAAAGTGAAAGTCCTTCCTCAACTGTGTGTTTTTTTCCATGTAGCATCTTCTCATTTCTATCATGTCTAAGCTTATTGAAAGACTGGAATCACCATCACCACTTCCCCACTATTCTCATTCACTATCCAACTTCGTTTTGGTTTTCACTAAATTTCATTATTTCTGCAATTAACAAATTTAATAATAAATTTCTAGGCTCATGAAACTTTTTCCTCTTACCTGGGATTTGCTGTAGATTTTAGTATTGATTACTCCATTTCAGAGAGATTTAAAATAACTCCTTTAAACTAACATAGTATAAAGAAATAAATTACAAACAGCTAAAATATTCTGTTATCTGTGATAATGTTTAACAGGTCTGTCTTCTTGAAATGTTAATAAAATATATGCTATGTGATAAATTAAAATTTTTGACTTTGGGTGCATACCAGCACTCCCCAAACACCAAACTCCACCATGCACATAAAATAAGCCCCTTCTTGGTGTCTTTGACTTTTATGTTGGCACATTTATATGGACAGGAATGTCATTGAAAGTTGTCTTCATCACAGTGACATTTTCATCAGATGTGGGTGGGACTTCTTGAAAGCTCAAAAAAGAACATTGTAATATTCATGAAATGGTTGATACCCAATTGTTCAACAAACAGGGCCTAAAAGAAGAGAGAAAGGGAAAGAAAACACAGACACCAGGTTGTAACTAACAAATGTAAATGTTGTTTATAAATGTAGAAGTATGCATATGTGCTTTCAATGGGCTATATCAGACTGTCACAGGCGACTCTGAATGACACGGTTAGAATACAGGAGATTGAGAATCTTTACCACAATAGTTGCTTCAGGTAAAAAATATTCAATGAATTATTGAGGTATTACAACTTGGCAGATTCTATGCTTCCTATTTCTAGGGCAAACAAACAGAGTAAGTTCCCTACTCTAAGTAAGCTCAGCAAGTAGGAAAAATGGATATATAAGCAGTTATAAAACATGACTATGCATGTCTCATAGACATGTACAAAGAACTTTGGCAAAGTCAATAGGGAGATACACTAGCCGCCTGCATGTGAGACTGAGGGTGAAGTCTTCAACTAGTAGGTGACCTCTGATATGAATATTGAAAAAAGAGTAGAGTTTGGCCAAACAAAGGGGGGAAATCTTACTCTAAGAAAAAGGAACAGACACGGGGAACCGCCTATTGCAATCAGAGAAATGCAGGCCATTTAGTAGAGCTACAAAGTCAAGTCACTGAGGAATGCCAGAAAGAAAAGGGACCTTAAGAGGTGAATGTAGACCAAATCATAAGGAACTTATAATGTTGGGATTCCAAGAATCAAAAAGACTTACTTTCCAATCGTTAATTGGCCCCATTGACTATGGTCCTAGGTGATCAATTAAAGAGTGAAGTCAGCCTCTTTTCCATTATAAGAAGACAAGACACATATACAAGGAATAAGAAAAATTATCTATTTTCAATACTGAATCATCCAGAC